GTCGGAGGGTCAGTGCTGAGGGAGTGCCGCACTGTCGGAGGGTCAGTACTAGGACAGTGCCGCACTGTTGAAGGTGCCATTATTCAAAGAAGAGATTTGACTGAAGAATTGCCTATTAGTGAGTGAAATTGGGAGGGATTGGGATCTGTATTCGGAAGGATGAAATTAAAATAGAACTTCCTCATGAGACACTCAAATTCTCAAATTGTAAAGCAGGGCTCCTGGTTAAAACAGACAGCTGTGATCTATACAGCCAGCAGGACAAGCAGACAGAGAACGTGACAGTCTGAACAAAGCCTGATACTTACCACAGGGAAGGACAATAACTCCTGACCTGGCACGGCCATTTCCAAACATCTTTCTTAAGCTCTTCTCCTGATAGGGCCTTAGGACGGCTGTGGGCTTCAGATCGATGTTAACATCTGGGTTGATGGTATCATTCCTGAAGTCGTACTCTGCTAGTAATGGGTATTCCATGTGAATACACCGTTTCTGCAGCTCCTCAATCATTTCCTATGGGAACATTTTGTTTAGAAACAGACTCCTCCAGACTAGAAAACCATGAAAAACAAAGGAGCAAACAAGAGTGGAACACATTTCACAGCGGGGTGCATCGCATTTACAGTCTGGGGTCAGGGTGGCCTAGTTCCAGACCAACAGAAAAGAGTTATATGTAGAGTGACAAGTTTCAAAAGACAGTTTCCATTGGAAACAAGAACACTGGAATTAAATGTGGCAAAAATGGGCAGGAAGTGCATCCAGAATCAAGCAATTTAAATTTAAATTGATACTCCAGCCTTGAAAATAAATCTAATAATCACTGGTTCAGTCGAATTGCCTGAGCACTGCAGAGTCAGGACCCTCTAATTCAACATGGATGCAATAGAAACAAAGAACTGCTGATGGTCGAGATCTGGATTAAAAATAGGAAGTGCTAGAGAAACTCAGCAGGTCTGGCAGCATTGGCATTGGTGCTAAAGAGTCATTTCAGACTTGAGACGTTAACTCTGCTTTTCTCTCTATAGATACTGCCAGACCTGCTGAGTTTCTCCAGTATTGTCTATGCTTGTTTCAACATGGTTACATTGAGCTTTACAATACAGAAATAGGCCATTCATACAGACTCCCCTATGCTGCTGATTCTGCCTTGAACAAGCTCCAGTCGCCATTATCTTGCCTCATCCAACCAATGTAAACTTTAAATCCTTTCTCCAGTGTGTTTACCGAGCCTTTGCCTGAATGTTATTAATATTGTTCTCCTCGATCAATCTCTGTGGCACTAAGTTCCACACGTAAACCATTCTCCCGAATGCCTATAGGAATTATTAGTTGAACAAAGTTATAAATCATCACCTGCTTCACTTCGAAGGACACTGTCTGCAGTTCCTCCTCCTCCTCCTCCTCTTCCTTATCCATTTGTTCGTAGAAGTCCAATAAGTCTGCGGGAACATCTGTTTTACTTTGTACGGGGTCTGTACTCTGTGATGTTGAAGCTGCTCCATTATTCTGCACAGCTTTGGACATCTGTGGAACAGAAGGCTGTTTGTGATTGTTTGGACAGAATCCCACAATTCCAATTCTTGACAAACCTCAGAGATGCCAAAAATGACCATTTTAATGGCAAATTTACCAAATTGTAGATAATTGAGGAAGGCTAAATTCAACATCAGCTGCCAATGCCAGTAAGACAGGCCAGAGAATCTATTTGTCATAATCCAGACCTGGGCTAAAAGTTGAATCAGAAAATGTGATTGATGCAGCAGCCCATCCTCAACTAAAACTAACTGATTTTACTGGGACAGGTTTGAAGGAACTTTACGCTGTACCTGTCTAACAAATATCATTAAATATTCTGAGGAGGTAACTTGGTGTGCAGATGGTGGTGATGAAGGATGCAGTCCAAAAGTACTTCACGAAGGCTTTTGACAAGATCCTACATTGCAGACTGGTCAAGAAAGCAAGAACCTACAGGATCCAGGATAATTTGGCAAACTGAACACAAAATTGACTTAATGGCAGTAAGCAGACAGTGATGGTCAATGGGTGCTTTTGTGACTGGAAACCCGTGTCTAGCAGTGTACCATAGGGTTCAATACTGGGTCCTTTCCTGTTTATTTTATCACTTGTGGGATGTGGGTGTTATTGGCTGGGCCAGTATTTATTGTGTGTCCCAGTTACTGTTCAGAAAATGGTGGTGAGCTGCTTCCTTGAACTGCTGCAGCCCATGTGCTGTAGGTGGACCCACAATGCTGATACAGAGTCAGTTCCAGGACAGTAAAGGAACAGCAATATATTTCCAAGTCAGGATGGTGCTAAGCTTGTTGAGTGTTGTTGAAGCAGCACCCATCCAGGTAAGTGGTAAGTATTCCATCACACTCTTAATTGGGCGGTATTTGGCCGGGTTGGATTTATCCTGCTTTTTGCACGCAGGACACATGTGGGCAATTTTCCACATTGTCTGGTAGATGCCAGTGTTCTAACTGTACTGGAACAGCTGGACTAAAGTAGCAGCAAGGTCTGGAGCACAAGTCTTCAGTACCATTGCCGGAAGGTTTCAGGGCCCACAGCCTTTGCTGTATCCAGTGCCTTCAACCATATCTTGGCATTTACGTACAGTGATTTGAATTGGCTGAAGACTGGTATCCATGATACTGAAGATTGCTGCAGCAGCTTCAGCCTTATCTTTTTCAGTGACATGTTGGTCTCTGCCTTAATTGAGGATGGAGTCTCATAGTCCAGTGAGTTGTTTCACCACCATTTACGACTAGATCTGGCAGGACTAGACAGCTTAGATCAATTAGTTGTGGGATCACTTATCACTTCCTGCTAATGCTGTTCAGCACACAAGTAGTCCTATTTGACACCTCATTTTCAGGTATGCCTGGTGCTGCTCCTGGCATGCCCTCCTGCACTCTCCATTGAACCAGGGTTGATCCCCCGGCTTGATGGCAATGGTTGAGTGGGGGATATGCTGAGCCATGAGGTTGCAGATTGTGCTGGAGTACAATTCTGCAATATTGGTGGCCCACAGAACCTCATGGATGGCCAGTCTTCAGTTGCTAGATCTGTTTGAAGTCTGTCCCATTTAGAATGGCAACAGTACCATACAACACGATGGACGGTACCGCTTTGTGGAACACCTACGCTCAGTTCGCCACAAACAACTGCACCTCCCAGTCGCGAACCATTTCAACTCTGCCTCTCACTCCCTGGACAACATGTCCACCTTGGGCCTCCTGCAGTGCCACAACGATGCCACCTGAAGGTTGCAGGAACAGCATCTCATATTTCGCTTGGGAACCCTGCAGCCCAATGGTATCAATGTGGCCTTCACAAGCTTCAAACTCTCCCCTCCGCCAGCCGCATCCCAAAACCAGCCCTGCTTGTCCCTGCCTCCTTAACCTGTCCTCCCACCTATCCACTCCTTCCACCTCAAGCCCCACCCCCATCTCCTGCCCCCATCTCCTAATTATAGACTAGTGAGCCTGACGTCAGTGGTGGGGAAGCTGCTGGAGAAGATACTGAGGGATAGGATCTGTTTACATTTGGAAGAAAATGGGCTTATTAGTGATAGGCAGCATGGTTTTGTGCAGGGAAGGTCGTGTCTTACCAACTTGATAGAATTCTTTGAAAAAGTGACAAAGTTGATAGATGAGGGAAGGGCTGTAGATGTCATATAAATGGACTTCAGTAAGGCGTTTGATAAGGTTCCCCATGGTAGGCTGATGGAGAAAGTGAAGTCGCATGGGGTCCAGGGTCTACTAGCTAGATGGATAGAGAACTGGCTGGGCAACAGGAGACAGAGGGTTGTAATGGAAGGGAGTTTCTCAAAATGGAGAACTGTGACCAGTGGTGTTCCACAGGGATCCGTGTTGGGGCCACTGTTGTTTGTGATATACGTAAATGATCTGGAGGAAGGTATAGATGGTCTGATTAGCAAGTTTGCAGATGACACTAAGATTGGTGGAGTAGCAGATAGTGAAGGGGACTGTTGGAGAATGCAGCAGAATATTAGATAGATTGGAGAGTTGGGTGGAGAAATGGCAGATGGAGTTCAATCCAGGCAAATGCGAGGTGATGCATTTTGGAAGATCCAATTCAAGGCGAACTATACAGTAAATGGAAAAGCCCTGGGGAAAATTGATGCATAGAAAGATCTGGGTGTTCAGCTCTATTGTACCCTGAAGGTGGCAACGCAGGTCGATAGTGTGGTCAAGAAGGCATACGGCATGCTTTCATTCATCAGACGGGGTATTGAGTACAAGAGTTGGCAGGTCATGTTACAGTTGTATAGGACTTTGGTTTGACCACATTTGGAATACTGCATACAGTTCTGGTCGCCACATTACCAAAAGGATGTGGATGCTTTGGAGAGGGTGCAGAGGAGGTTCACCAGGATGTTGCCTGGTATAGAGGGTGCTAGCTATGAAGAGAGGTTGAGTAGGTTAGTTCTGAGGAAGGGTAACCAGACCCAAAACGTTAACTCTGTTTTCTCCTTCACAGATGCTGCCAGACCTGCTGAGCTTTTCCAGCAACTTTGTTTTTGTTCTTGAGTAGATTAGGATTATTTACATTAGAAAGACGGAGGTTGAGGGGGGACCTGATTGAGGTCTACACAATCATGAGAGGTATAGACAGGGTGGATAGCAAGAAGCTTTTTCCCAGAGTGGGGGACTCAATTACTAGGGGTCAGGATTTCAAGCTGAGGGGGTAATATTTTAAGGGAGATATACGTGGAAAGTTCTTTACGCAAAGGGTGGTGAGTGCCTGGAATGCGTTGCCAGCGGGGGTGGTAGAGGCGGGCATGATAGCGTCATTTAAGATGTATCTAGTCAGATATATGGATGGGCAGGGAGCAAAAGGATACAGATCCTTGGAAAATAGGCTCAGAGATAGTAGGAACTGCAGATCCAGCTCTGCACCTTGTTGTCTTGGAAAATAGACGACAGGTTTAGATAGAGGATCTGGATCGGCGCAGGCTTGGTGTCCGAAGGGCCTGTTCCTGTGCTGTAATTTTCTTTGTTCTTTGTACTAGCCTCATCCCGCCTCCTTAACCTCTCCGTCCTCCCAGGACCGACCTTTCCCCTCCCTAACTCCCCACCTACACTCACCTTTACTGGCTCCATCTCTGCCTCTTTGACCTGTCTGTCTCCTCTCCACCTATCTTCTCCTTTATCCATCTTATATCAGCCTCCCCCTCTCTCCCTATTTATTTCAGAATCCCCTTCCCCTCCCCCATTTCTGAAGAAGTGTCTAGACCCGAAACTTCAGCTTTCCTGCTCGGCCTGCTGTGTTCATCCAGCTCTACACCTTGTTATCTCAGATTCTCCAGCATCTGCAGTTCCTACTATCTCTGTAACAATCTTGTGTTTGTGCTGTGTTACATGTGACCCCACCACACTGTTCTGTATCTGTAAAATCTTCCTTACTGTCCTGTTTTGTTACCATTACTTGGATAAATTATGATCTCTCTACCTTAATTATTTCATACAGTTTTGAATTACCTATAACTTTGGTTAGACCCTCAGCATGCGACTCTTATACCTATCATGTTATTCCAGTCTTTTGGTTTGTCTCCAGCACCACCTTATTTTTAATTATTTGTAATTATCTCTGTGCCTCATTTAGTTGGATTGGAGGTCGTGCCTTCACGTGTTGTTCAGCTGCTGACACTTCACTCACACCGTCTGACACTTCAGATCACAGGCAGGGATTTATCATTCAGCACTCCACTCACATCATTTGTATGGTCTATCTGCCCTTGATATCTATCTCCACCCATGAATTCTGTGTTGTGTGTGCTTCTCTCACTTCACTTGACGAAGGGGCTATGCTCAGAAACCTTGAGATTTCACAAACTTGTTGGACTATAACCTGGTGTCTGTGACTTCTGACTTATGTTACTGTGTTGTTACATTGATAATGCGTATCTCTTGATTATCCGGATTATTTGATCAACTGGCACACTCCTGGTCCCATAGGTGCTGGATAATAAAACATTTGCTGTATCTGCAACCAGCAGACTGGCAAGGATGAGGTCAACTACATTTTCCCCTTTTGTTTTCCCTCACCACCTACCCCAGACCCAGTCTAGCCGCAATGTCCTTTAGGACCTGACCAGCTCGATCAGGAACACTGCTGCCGATCCACTCTTGGCGGTTGAAGTTCCCTACCAAGAGTACGTTTTGCACCCTTGCCAACTTCCTGCAAGTGTTGTTCAACATGGAGTACCACCAATTTATTAGTCATAGAGACAGCATGGAAAGAGACCCTTCGGTCCAATTCGGTCATGGCGACCAGATATCCTAGAAAAATCTAGTCCCATTTGCCACTATTTGGCCCATATCCCTGCAAACCCTTTCAATTCATATACCCATCCAGATGCCTTTTTGTTGTAATTGTACCAGCCTCCACCCACTTCCTCTGGCAGCTCATTCCATACATACACCCAGCATGTAAAAGTTACCCCTTACGCCCCTTTTAAATCTTTCCCCTCTCACTTTAAACCTATGCACTCTAGTTTTGGACTTTCCTACCCAGGGAAAAGACCTGGGCTATTTACTCTATCCATGCCCCTCATGCTGAGGGATGACATTCATATACATTAATGATGATGTGTACATGTAATGAGAATGTGTACAGCAATGATCTTGACTTGCACGTCAAAGATATGATCAGTAAGTTCACAGATAACATTAAAATTGTGTGGTAAATAGTAAGAGGAAAGCCTTAGACTACAGGATGATATCAATGACAAATAGAATTTAATCTGCAGAGTGAGGTGATGTATTTTGGGAGCACTAATAAGGCAAAAGAGTACACAATGATTGGAAGGACTTGAAGTACAGAGGACCTGAGGGACTTTGGTGTGTATTCAAGGATCCTTGAAGGCAGATGGGATATTTGCCTTTATTAGCCAAGGCACTGAATATAACTACAAGGAGTTTATGATGGAGCTGTATATAACGTTAGTTAGGCTGGAGTGCTGTGTGCAGTTTTGATCACCACACTATCAAGGATGTGATTACACTAGAGATGGTGCAATAGAGACTCACTATAATGTTGCCTGGAATGGAGCAATCCCACGATGAAGACAGACTGGATAGGCTGGGGTTGTTTTCCTTAGAGCAGAGAAGGCTGAGAGGGGACCCGATTGAGGTATATAAAGTTATGAGTGGCAGAGATAGGAAAAAAACATTTCCTCTTAGCAGAAGGTCAATAACTAGGGGAAATGGATTGAAGGTAAGGGTCAGAATGTTTAGAGGGGATCCAAGGGTGGAGGGTATATGCAGCTCACTGCCTGGAAGAGTGGTAGAGGTGGGAATCACCACCATTTCAGAAATATTTAGAATATATACGTAACACCATAAAATAAAAGGCTACAGGCTAAGTACTGGAAAATGGGACTAGAATAGATAGCTGCTTGTTAACTGGCACAAACATGAAGGGTGTCTTTTGGTGCTGTGAAATTCCATCCCATTCTGTACTTGTCCTGGGAGTGTTTTACTGGGACAGTGTAGAGAGAGCTTTACTCCGTACCTAACCTGTGCTGTCCCTGTCCTGAGAGTGTTTGATGAAACAGTCCAGAGGGTCCTATTGTCTGTATGCAACCAGAGTCAAAGGGGGATTGAGGGATAAACTAAGAAATTGTTTCGATGGATTTTCTGGGCTTTGTGATCTTTGCAGGTTTTTCAAATTTCCAGTGTTGAATTAATCAAGATCTGGAATCCTCAATAACCTTCGCCCAGATTGCAGCATCATACCAGCAAAGGACATCCACTTACCAACATGGCAGATTTACTGGAGACTGTGCCCATAATGAGTTCAGTTTCGTCACCTTCTGCTGTCCTCAGGCGACAGTTCCTTATGATATCATCCTGCAACAACTTCTGAATCACATCGGGATGTGTGCTTTCCACAAAGTATCTGTCCATTAAGGAGATTCTCAGTCAAACCAAACTATTTTCACACTAACTACTACCTCAAACTGGATAATTTGGTGCAGCACTGTTTTTTTTATTGATCCTCATTACAGTGCAGCACAGCCTCAGTACCAACCCTTTGACATCAACTGATCTTCTCATACCAATTCAGAAAACTGTACATTGGTGGAGGCCATTTGCCCCATCACCTCCATGCCAGCAACAAAGATCTAATTACTGTAATGCCTTTTCCACCTCTAACTCGAGCCTTAGACTGTGGCAATACAAGTTAATATTTAAACACTGTTTCAATGCTGATTCAACCATCTTTCACAGAGTGAGATCCAGACTCCTCAGTGAGAGATCATTCTCAGTTAAAAAAAAACCCACCTCACCTCTCTTACTTAAATCTATATCTCCTGGTTATTCAGTACTCTATTAGTGGAAAAAGTATCTTCCTATCCACCCTACCTATGGCCACAGACGGCAGATTTCCTTCCCTAAAGGACATTAGTGAGCCAGATGGGTTTTTACAACAATCGATAGTTTCATGCCCATCATTAGACCCTTAGTTAGTTGAGGCCGAACCAGTTTTCACGTAATTCCAGCATTATGTCCCTGCTATTGTATTTGATACTTTGGTTTAAATAAAGGCAAGTATTAAAGGACTAGACAGGGTAAATGTAGGAAGGATGTGAGCCTCTGGAATCCTCTGCCACAGAAAGCACTTGAGGCCAAAACAGTGAATGCTTTCAACGATGATTCAGATTTAGTTCTTAGGGCTAAAGAGAAAGCAGAAACCAGGTACTGAGTTCACTGATCAGCTGTGATTGCACTGAACAGCAGAACAGGCCTGAATGTCCAATAGCATATTCCTGCTCCAATTTTCTGTATTTTTAAGTATTCCATTATCCCTTTTCAGTGCCACCTTTAGGGATATATGGAAATGTACACCAAGATCCCTTTGATCTTCAGTACTTTCCAGAGTCCTACCATTCATAGTGGATCCCTTGCTTCGTCAGTCCACCCAAGTACATTGGCTCTCACTCTTCCGGTTGGAATTCCTTGTGCCACTGCTCTGCCGAGCTGAACAGTCACCTGATATCCTCCTAAAGTTTAAGGCTATCTTCCTCCCTATTTACCAACCCACTAATTTCCACGACATCCATAAAGGCCTTGATTACACCCTCTATATGTAAGGCCAAAAGAATAATGCACAAAACAAGGTGCTGATCCGCAGCACTCATTCAATGCTGAGCTTTCAATAGTGCGGCGCTCCCTCGGCACTGGCCCTCCGACAGCGCGGCGCTCCCTCGGCACTGGCCCTCCGACAGCGCGGCGCTCCCTCGGCACTGACCCTCCGACAGCGC